GTGTGGCTGTTAGATGTTCAAATTCACACAGTGTTTTAGAAGGTTGTTTAGCTGGAGCAAGGAGCCCCAGTGAAACACTGGTTAAAGCAGGCATCTGTTAGTGAAAGGTTTGTGGTTCAAAGCTCAGCAGCTGCTTGAAAGGAAAAGAGGTGCTAATCTGCTTCTGGGAGCACTGCTGGCCTAGTGGCAAGAAGCTGCACTGCAATCCCAAAGGCATGTGATTCAAATCTCACCAGCTGCTCTGAGGGAAAAGGACGGGCAGTCTCCTCCTGTGCAATTTACTGTGTCTGAAAACCCACCAGAAGGTCAGATATGTGTCAGTTCCAACTCTATGGTACACAACAACAACAACAACAACAATCTGTTTCTATAAAGAAACTGCCTATGGGGCAGTTCTCCTCAGCCCTACAAGTCACTAGGAGGTTGAACTGACTCCCCAGTAGTGGGTTTGCTCTGGTGGTGCACTCCTCAAAGCTGTCAATTTTAAACATGCAAGCTCTTAGCCACCACATTGCTGAGAATTTATCCTACAGATAAACTCACATAGTTAGGTAAAAACAGATATACAAGGCTGTTCCCTGAAGCACTGTTTATAAGAAATGAGGAAATAAACTTCATATGTTTTAAAGGTTGGAGGAACTTGAACTTCCAACCTTCTGGTTAATAGCACAGTGTGTTTTGACAAGGGTATAACAATCCAATGGAGGGAGTGATATTCTTTTCAGCAAATGATAACTGGAACAACTGGACAGTCACATGTAAAAGAATGAGGTTGGGTCTCTAATTTGTACAGTATTAAACAATATAAAGGAAACTAAATTCAAAAAAAGTTAAAAAACAAACTAAAAAAAAACACAACACCAAACACAGCACAGTGTGGTGATCCAAGGACTCCTACAGAATGCCAGTATTTGTCTGTAAAAGAAAGAATGACGTAGAAAAGTTTTGAAAGACTACACAAAGACACATCAAGCATGATTACACTGAGAGATGAAAAGGGGGTTAGAGAGAGGGGAAAAAAACTTTTTAAAAAATGTTAAAAAAAAAAAAAAGAAAAGAGACATTCTGCCAGGAGTCTGGGGGTGGGGTGGGGGGTGAGCATAATGACCCCCAGAATCTCAGACAATGACCCTGTGAGATCTTCTCTCACATGCTGTATGTGTCACGAGGGAAGCCAATGAACGACAACACAGGTTTACCTCTGCATGGACGCACTGCACAAGCCCTAAAGCCCTGAGTAGTGAGCTGTGAGGAGGGGCGTCCCTCCTAGTGTGTGCTGCAAACCGTGACAGGCTCAGCTGCTGTGTGAATGGCTGGAGGTTCAAGTTCAACCCAAAGTCCCTCAGAGGAAAGGTCTGGTGATCTACTTCGGAAAAATCAACCACTGGAAAACCCCATAGAGCCACAATTCCACTCTGCCACACGTGGGGCCACTGTGAGTTGGAACCAACAGCCACACTGCTCCTGGTTCCTCCCAAGCCTCCCACTCCCCAGTGACAGTTCAGATTGGCCGACTCTCCCGTTCTGGAAGAGTCACTTTTTCCTCAGATCTGTTCACACATGGAAGTCTCTTCAGCTTCTCATCTGACCTTCTCTAGATCCAGTCTTGGCTGGGCAATGTGGGGGGGCTGGGCATGTTGAAAGGCTGGGAGTGGTGGAAGGAGACTGGGGGATCAAAAAGGACCACTGCAGAAATCAGAGAGGCTTCCCTGTCAGAACCCTGGAAGGGTTGGCAAGGGCTGGATTAGCAGGTGGAGTTTGCAATGGTCCTGACAGAGAGGAGGGAGAGACACAGGCAGCTAAGGTAAGCAGAGTCAGACTTTATTCAAACCCCAAGAGGAACTGGATTTATAAAAAGAGATATCACAAAAGATAAACTAGGAGTAAGTTTCTCTTTTAACAGAAAGCCTTCAAAACATGCTTCTTGGTTCTGCCACATAATGTCTGTCCTATAAGAAGCTAGATGCTCAGCTTCTCTGGTTTGTGGCTTATTTATTAGTAACAAACCATCTACTAAGATGGAGTCCTGGTGGGAAAGCATGTAACACATCAGGCTGCTAACCAAAAGGTCAGCAGTTCAAATGCATCAGCCACTCATGGGTGGGGGTGAAGATGGGTAATCTCCGCCCATTTTTTTTTAAGCCAAAAACCCAATGGAGGGAGGGGAAGTTTGAATCAACTCCACCACAGGGGGTTAGTAAAAGAATAAACTCCACCTGTGTTGGGTTCAAATGAAATTTATAAAGAAGCATAGAAGGGGTGGGAAAAGTTCCCTTTTCCTCATGAATGTCACCTCTCATTTCCTACACTTGATGCCTGTAGGAGAAGGACAAGGGCAGAGATGTCCCCAGAGCCATGACCAGCAAGACGGGCAGGCTGGGTAATCTACCAGGGGCCGGGATGGCCTCATGGAAAACGCTTCCATAAATGGGCATGTTTGCCTCAATCTCGGGCCTCGCACGGAACAGTGAGGCTAACATGCCCATAACAAATACCTTGTACAGAATAGGAAGCCTATTTCAGATTCGACAATTAAAAAAATCGCATAGAGCTTCCAACAGGCTCAGCTGCCTCGGACTTGAGGAATCCACGACCCACCAGGGTCCTCAACTTAGGCTAGGTTACACCACCAGCCGGGGACAAACAGTACATTTTCTTTTAAATTCTCAAGAGGTCAGTTTATGTTTTCTTCAAGGAGAGGAGGATAAACACGGAGCAGTGGGCCCACCAGAAACCTGGCTCTAACGAGAAGTTTCTGTCCATGGTGTAAAAAAAAAAAAAGGAAGACAGGATCAAAGGCAGAAACTTGGCATCTGTCAGAACCAGGAAGAGGGTCCATTATGGACAAGCGTTGTGACATTGGGCAAATTACTTAACCTCTCTGAGCCTCAGTTGTCTTCTATACACGGCCACCTTCCCAAATTTGTGGTAATGATTATATGAGATAAACAGCAAGGTATCAAATCTTGCTACAATTCTGGGTATACAAATTCACCATTAATCTCTGTGAAAGCACCGGAGAAAGACTGGTTTTCTTCCCCAAACATTGATACTCTTATTTCCCCCGCTTTCACTGGACGGCTTTTACATCAGTGTCTTCAAGCTCCAGCTCTTTAAAAAAATTCTACCACCATGTTTTTAAGCATACCAAACAAATTGAGAAAAGCCGCACCAAATCAAACCACGCAAGGCAGTTTATTAACAGTCAACCTGCCTTTCCTTTGCCAAACCCCAGCCAGGCTACACATTGATCTCCGTTCTTAACACTGTAACCAAAGGCTCCCCGAAGCCAGGACAAGCCAGGGCTTTCTCATACTACTTTTCTTCAAGCAGCTAATTCTCCACCAACTTTCTGCTCCAGGGGAAGATTTCCAGGGAGAAATGGTCACAATCTCGTTTTGTGGTTGTGTAAAGCAGTAGGAGCTGCAGTTACTATACCACAGAGAAGAGCCTGGGTGGCATCATCAGTTACGGAACCAAAGGTTAGTGGTTCAAACTCAGCCAGCAACTCTATAGCAGAACAACTTGGCTAACTATTTCCATAAAGATGACAGTCCCCCCAAAATGGAGAAGTTTTACTCTGTACCACGTGGGGTTTGCCATAAGAAGGGCAGCTAACAGGCTCTGCCGGAAACTTCACTCTTATCTAAGGCAAAAAGGGTGACTTTTGAGCCAGTCTGTGAATACGACAACCATCCAGGGTCAAGTCAACCTGGATGACATGTTCTTTATTAAAATTTCTATAGTTGTTTTTTGTTTTTTTTAAATTTGCAGGTGCAAAGTATATTGAACACACCATGGAATCTCAAAAGAGTAAACAAATCTGTCACATGGTGCAGCCAGAACGCTCCTTAGAAGCCAGGATAGAGAGACTTGGTCTCACACACGCTGGCCATGTTCTGAGGGGCGCCAGTCCCTGGAGAAGGACATCATGGTTGGAAAAGCTGAGGGTCAGTGAAAGAGAGGAAGACTTTCAGTCAACTGGGCTGTGGCCGAGGCTCCAAAATGGGGTTAAGCACACCAGAGATTGTGAGGATAGTGAGAACTGAGCGGGGTTTTATTCTATTGTACAGAATGAAGTCAGTGTGAATTGAAATCAACACCACCGGTACCTAACAACACCAAGGAAAACTGTCCTGGAAAAATGACCATAAGGAAAAATGTCCTTAACAATGGATGGAAAACAGCCTTATACTTCTTCTCATGATGCACAGAGATGTCGAATGTGTTTTTGACCTGATTTAACACATTATCCATTTAACTCAGCAATCTTTCCAAATCCGGTGGATCATCAGTCTGCCCTCTTTTATGATAGCAACGGAGTTCTCAGCAAGGCTTCTTTCCAGTGTCCACCAAAAAAGCTTACAAGTCTGACCCGCCCAGTGCCATATAGTCTATGTCCCTCTAGTCTATAGGGACCCTCTATCATGTTTACGAAATTGCCAATTTTTATAGGTACTGTCCATTTTTCTCTCTGTGGATTCGAACAGGCAACCATTTAGGCAGCAGCTCTATATCGTACGCATCACGCCACCGGGGCTCTCTTCCTGGTTGTGATTTTTTTAAATTTTACTTTGTTATTTTTGTGTGTGTAGCGTCAAATCGGATCTGACAGGTACAGGAGGAGATTGCCCCTCCTGGCTCTGATTTTTAAGGGAGCAGCTGTGACGTTTAGATTTACCTCCTTAAAAAGACTTCTTAACTGCACCAAAACCAAGCTAAAAGTCTTTTTCTGGAAATGTTTAATTCCAATGAAGTTGGACACCGCATCAGTGTAACAAGCACCCCCATGTTGATACTGGTTGCTAGGGGAGAATGGGGTGATGGGGCACTGAGAGATGAAGAAAGTGACCCCCCTCTTTGCACACCCCTGCCCCAGCTGCTGTTAGGGTCTTCAACCTTCCCGCCTCCCCAATAAACACACACACCTGCTCTCCCAGGACCACCACTACTTACAGATCTCTAACTGGGGGAAGAGCGGCGAGGAAGCGGTGGGGAGCTCAGAGCCGGCGCACCTCCCAGGCTGGGGCGTCCGATTCTCGGGGCTGGCGGGGACGCCTCTCTATATAGCCGGGGAGCTGCCCGCGGGTGGGAAAGGGGAGGCCCGGCGGGGGCGGACCGGGCGGGTGCTGCGCCACAGCGCCCCCTGCAGGCCCGCTCCGCGCCTTTGCCCAGGGCCTAGGGGGCACCAAAGCCCAGGCACCTGGGGCCTCTCGGAGCGCGCGTCCCACCCCAGACCCGGGAAAGGCACTGGGTCTCCAGGCCCCTAGAGAAAGAAAGCCGGATGTTTGAGAATTTCTTTTCTGTCCTTCCAGCCTCGCTGGCTTTAACCTCTTCCTCACCTCGCCCGGGGATGGAGAAGGATGGGGAGGACGTGGTGGGTTTGAAACTAACATCCGCTCCTCCGCTTCCCAAGCTGCGCGCATGGTCTACAGAAAGGGGATTTTGTGAACTTTGCAAAGGGCAGAGCAGGAGGCCTCGATTGCTGGGAATTGTGCGGGGAGGGGAGGTTTTTCCTTTTCTCCACTCGCCCTAGCCAGCCCCACCCACCCACTCACACCAGGACTAACAGACAAAACCCCCGCTGTGCCTTCAAGCCCCCAGCAGGCTGCCCCGCCCCGGGCCAAGCCGTTTCCTCTCCTTGAACCTCCAAGCCTTGCAGCTACGAGATGGGGTGGGGTGACAAACGTGTGAATTGCAACTGGTGCCTGTCAGGATCCAAAGAGAATGTGGGGGAGCTCCTGACGCCTACAGGTTTGCTTCAACTGGTCCCCAGCTCCAATCCACAGGAGTACCTACGGATGAGGGGCGTGGGGAGAGAAATATCCCCACTTTCCTTCTCTGTCTTCCTCTCATTCCACTTTATTCCCCTGTGCCAGTCCCAATCTGTGCCACTCTCTCTCTCTCTTCCTCCCTCCTGATTGCCCATTCCTATCGCTATAGGGGCCATGATGCTTGGAAGGGTGGAAGGTCGGGAGAGGAAGCCCCTCGACCCGGTGGATTGATGCGGTGACTGCTGCAATGAACTCTTCTGTGTCAGGAGGTGTGAGGACGGCGCAGGGTAATAGGGGCTCAAATTCCCTGTTCATGAGGACTCGACGGCACCTAACAACAACAATAACGCTGTCTCCCCACTGTTCTCTGTCTCTGGGTCCCTGCCTCCTCTCTCTGTATCTCTGTCTCCCCCACGTGTCTCCCTCCATCTCCCTGTCTTTCCCACTGTCTCTCGCCCTGTCCCAGGCTGGGGATCCCAGCCTCCCTCTCCCTCCTGGCTCCCATCTTCTCCCCATCGCTGTCACACGCACGCACACACAGGCCATAAAAGGCAGTCGAGGCGGTGGGCTGGCCCCGCGCCAGGCCGGGG